TTTCTAGCACCAGTGAAAGAAGTTTCACAAGAGTTACTCCTAATGAGCCACATCGAAACTTGAGCACACATGACAAAAGGTATATACAAACAGGATGGAACTGCTAGATTTCTTTTGCCCTATTAGTTCTTGCTGGCTCCAGCCTTAACTTAGAGTTAGCTGCCGCCTTCTACTATTTTCACTGACCAAATTTCACGCTGAAATAATGATACTGCTGGTTTTGACAGAATGCAGCTCAAATAAGGATCACAGAATACTGCAGTTTATTAATAACATATGACTAATTTAATTTTTGACTGACCTGGACTTTGCCTAATTATCTTTCCTCCCTGTGCATGAAGATTAAAGAGTATAGATTTTTCCTTGAAAGAAGAGCACTATGGCATTATGCATTTATATTACTATTACAGACTTTTTTCATGCAGGTAGTCTTACCAGCATAACTAAATATGAAATCTGAATTTAGATAAGGCCCTGACGTTATTTGGGAGCTTCTAGCCAATCTTTTCAGCAATGACCTATGTATTCTCCTTTTAAAAAAATGCAGTTTTAATTATCTTTCAATTATCTTTTCATCTCAAGATCTAGTAATTTTTTGGCATAAGCAAAATCTTTGACTGCTACATGTGACTTTCAAAAATGTTTTTGACACCTACATTAGGTTCAATTTCAACATTATACAGGCAGCCAAACTGTTAATTATCAAAATGTAGATATGTGAATGACATGTGAAGATCTCTTTTTCATGGACAATATTCACAAATAATTAATGAGGCTATCATATATGCTAATCACATATTTTTTGTATCTGCTTTTGTTCTGGTTACACAAAACTTCCTATCAAGAGTTGCACTTTGATTTGCTAGACTTCCATTTATCAACTCGTATCTTGTTTAAGTCAGGTAATTTTGCATGGTGATTGTTATTTTGTATTCATGGATAAATTCATCTTTTAAGACTTTTTACTGGACAGGATACTATAAAAAATGCATTCAAATGTCTTCCTCTGTCATCTGTCTTCACCTCAGTTTTTAAAACTGCAGTAATATGGACACACAATAATTATGTAAAATATCATGTAAATTACTCAGATATAAAACTAGTATTTCCTAGGAAGAGGATATTAAACTAGCTTATCTGCCTTTGATTCAGGCAGATCTTGGCTCACACTCTTGAACTATATTTTCAACTACAGAATGTATAGGTATATCTTCAAAAAATCAAAAGAACTGAAAAAATCTATTACTCTCTTAAAATACAGAAACTGAAGGACAACTGTAGTCAACAGAAGAACAGGGTAAGGCAAAGTTCACCGCCCCCCCCCCCCCAAAAAAAAAAAAAAAATCACTGACAAAATCCACTTTTAAAAACAGAATAAATACTGTTTTACTCTCTAAGGGTCAAAACATAGCCTAATAGACGCAGATATGTGGGTCTATTATTTATTCCTTATTCAGGCAGGCTGCTTTTACTGGGTTTGACCTAAATCAGAAGTGAAAAGAAGCTCAGCTGTTCAGCAGTAAGAAAGTCTGAGTTAAATTCATAGACATTTTATAGAAAAATAAGTCTTCTCTGTTTTCAGTTGTCCAATAGCTTTTATTTTCATTTCTTCTGCACTAAAATCTCTGCAGGAAAATTCTTTCACAACTTCTTCCTAGCTACTATTTCTTTTTACTAAATGTATCTTAAAAGACAAAAAAATGTGTATTTATACTTCTACAATATGTCTTTATTATGATTTCCTGAGCTGTAGCAGTTTGTTAGGTTCTGAACAGGACAAATATCTCCTGTTCACCTGTGTATCTCACATTCCTAATGTCTAGTAAACTTGGATTATTCTTTTTGTTGYTATCAGTGGGACAGTGGGAAAAGCACTTCCTGGCATAGACAAAGGAGATGTCAAGATGACAAGATTTGGCTTTGTGCTGTATTGACTTTCTCTGATGGTGGAAGTTCCAAATCTTTTTARTATTTGAATGATGATAAACTGTATTAAAAAGACAAAGGTGGAATCCTGAAAACAAAATGGGAAACTTTGATAAATAATACCTTGGAAGAAGAAAAAAAAATAAAATAAAGAAGCAAGAAAATAAAGGTGGAATTGCAAAGACATTGTTGGAACTATGGCACCTGGTTCAGCAAAAGAGCGAAAAAAAAGCAGTGCAATGTGTGTGAAGATCTGTAGGACTGAGCTGTAAAACTGAGGGACAGAAACAGAACCTAATGGCACGTAAGGGTGACAGAGCATTGGATGAGGGTGATAGCAGTGGAACAGGCTGCCCAGGGAGGCTGTGGAGTCTCCTACTCTGGAGGTCTTCAAAACTCGCCTGGATACTGCCCTGTGCCCCGTGCTCTGAGTGTGCCTGCTGGCACAGGAATGTTGGACTAGATGATCTCCAGAGGTCCCTTCCAACTTTGAATATTCTGTGATTCTGTGATGCACTACAGACACAGGAACGATAAAATTGGATAATGGAGACAAGAGAGGCCAAGGAAAGAGTGAAATAGAGAAATTTACAAAGTGAGACATGGAGAAGAAGAGAAATAAAATTCTGAAAGTAGATTCTAGGGGAAAAAAAAAAAGAAAAAAAGATAATATGTAATACTTGCTTATTGTTTAAATTTAAGCACAAGATGAAAATTTTGCTCAGCTTGAACTGAAAAGTTTGAGCACTTCCTGTACTGAAAACGATTGTTTTTCATGTATCTGAATGAAAGAGTATCTATTAGCCTAGAAAAAAAAAAAAGAATTATGGCGATGCTCTGTCAATGCCCCTCTTCTATCTTTTATTCTTTTAACCAATTTAGCAATGTCAGATCCCAAAAGATAGAAGTACACATCACAAAATGCAATGTTCCTATAATATGCCTGAAAAACTAAAGCTGAAAGGATACACCCTCTTTAACACTATCACTGAAAGAAAAGCTTTAGGCAACGATTCCTGTTGGTCTGTTATCTAGACAGTCAGCAGCACATTAATACTGGCAAATTAACAAGTACATTCATAAACTTTGGACTCATTGCAACACTGGCTGCTACATGTCCTACCACAGCAAATTTTTTAAGGAATACAGAATTATGATGCAAATTTGCAAGTAAACTGGCTTTATTATTTTTCTCCTCATAGACAAATTGCTGAGAATGGGATTTAAAAGGTTGGCCACGATACTGGAATATGCAGAAGTCTCCTTTTAATGGATGAATTGTATAAAATGTCTAAATTCTTTATGTCTCAAAAAGTCACACATAAGGCAATGAGATTTAAAAAATCTATAGAACATAGATAAGAAAAAAACACGAAAAGGGAAAAGAAATCTCTTAAGAAACATTGAATCACTAACTAATCCTAATTACTATTTTCACTGAAACTGCGTGCAGAAACAATGACAAAGAGAAAGAATGACCTTGCAAAGCATCTATACCACCGAGCGACAATTAGTTTTGTATTTTATTTAATCTTTTCCAGTGACTTCCCGTGTGCCTCTTAACAAATAATTTAATTTGTCTATTTTCGTTTTGAGAGAATTAAGGATATTATACCAACTTATCAGTCTTTCCAGAATGGTCTGTGAATTCACTTTTCTGATTAATTTTGCTTTTGATTTCAGGCACATCTTTGTTGCCGAGCACCTTTGGAGCTATGCTCTCTATGCTTCAAGCTGACTAAATTATAGCATTATATACTGCCAGTATTAAAAGACAATGAAAAATTTCTAAGAACCCATAACTAGAGGTTCAAGAAGATCCAGCTCCATATAGCAAACTGTAGAACTGCACCTATTTTATTATTTATAATTATTGCATTTTCCTAACTCTGTTACTTCAATATGCATTAAATGTCTATCTGCTCTGTTTTCTAATCTCTTTTGAACAGTCTGTGCCTTTCAGCATKTAACTCCTGCTTATTTTATCTTCCCATTGATTTACCTGTCTTATTTAAAATAGTGTCCTTTTATCACTTTAGAAATGTTTACATAACTGGCTCCTTCAGCTGGCCAAAACTGAGGAGGGAAATTCCTCACAATTGCAATCCTCACAGTTCTTATTCTGCAAATAGTGGCTAACAAAAACAAGACTGTTTTTCAAATATGCATAGCAGATCTAGCATCAGTGAACACAGAAAAGCCTTTGGACTTATTGAATAAATATCCCAAAATGAATTCCCCCCCAAAATAGTAGTCCTAGCCCATTGAAGGGGGCAGCACAGAAAGCTTCGCAAGCTTTGCAACACAGTTCTGCAAGGAAGGGAGGCATTCCACTCATTTTTCTTGCCAGAATAGGCAAATACACCCTGGTGCTGGTATTATTAGCGGTGTTTTAAGGTTCTCTTTCCCACAGGTTTACTCCAGGACTTTCCAAAAACTCTCATCTTTTCCTCATTACTTTCTCATTCTCAGAAGCTTAATAATTAAAGGAACTGCAGTTGTCCTCTGCAGGATTTATCACTTCTTTGGATGCCCAGGGAGGTTAGCTGGATGCAGCATGAAGCACACGTTTCTCTGGAATGGAGCTCAGGCTGTTCCCTGGGTAACTCCTTCACGGTTCCGCCTCCTCACAGTCCTAAACTTAGGGTTTAACCTTGGATATGGATTGATGTTTCTACTTACATTTTTACCTGCTAGGAAAAGTTCCCACTTATCTTTCTTACATTTCATGCTTTTTTCCTTTAATGCACATTATAAAATATTTCAAAGACATTTTATCACTCAAAACACACTTTATTCCACGTGCAAGCTCTTAAAACAACAGATCACTTTTTCAGGTAGGCTGATAGCCATAGATAATTGCATATGCTCCCTGCAGGCCAGTGTCATCCCCTCTCCTTGCAGACCTTTAGCAACCATCTTTCTTTCTGATTTACTCAAGTCAAAGAAGTCTCTTCAATGGCACAATTGCTTTGAAACCTCATTATAGCAGTAACTCTGAAGGAAGACCATTTATGTTAGATAATCTCAATGTAAAACAGTTTTAGATGCTTTGAAAGAAACTCTGGGCCTACCTGCAATGTACAACCATGGGTCCAGCATCAGGTGGGTTACAGGTTTTGACTCGCCTCAGGAAAGCTAAGAATGGTGTAGGGTGTTCGGGAACACCATGGTCAGGCCAGGCAGTGAACTGGAATTGCCTCACTTCCCTTTTCTCACTTGAGCCATTCTATGAAATCAAAAAACTTCATGAAAAAAGGGCATTTTTTGGTTTACTGTAAACAGTTTTGAATAACTAAACAGCCAGGAAAGAAYGCTTAAATCACATCAGAACCACAGAGAAACTCAGTGCGCAGGTCTGACTATTGGGGAAATATCTGTCATATCTTAAATTTATGGCTCAGACAACATAGGGACTTTAGATATACTGCACAGTAATGCCTGTGTGGTGCCTCAGCTAATTTTTCATTTTCAAAAATACATTCTGATAGCAGAAGAACTATTTAATTCTTCATCACTGTGAGCAGGATCAAGATTTAAGTAAATCCCTAACAGACCTGATATCATAAAAACAGGCTTGTGTTGAAAGTAAAAAGAGAAAGAGAGAGAAAAAAGGAGGAAAAAAAAAAGGAAAAAGAGAAGAAAGATGAAGAAAGCAAGCAAGAAACAGGGTTGAGAGTAAAGAGGGAGAAAATGACATACCTTGTAAAGTGCAAATGTACGAACGCAGTATGTCGCCAATTCAACAGTGTCTAAGAGAGTCACTTGGATTAGCCCGTAAGTTTCTGTGCCTCTGCTTGGCCAATACTGATCACACTTCACCTGCAGAGGGGAAAAAAAAAAGAGGTAATTAAAAGGTAATTATTTCATATATTAATGCTATCATTTGGTACATACTGAAATGAATATATCTGCAGGCTTTTAAAGTATGTGGAACAATTCACCAATTATTATACAGTAGATATTTGTATATAGTATAGTATCGGTACAAGTTAGCAGACAGAAAATGCCCATAAGTATCTACAGCTAAAGAAAATTGAATTTATAATGGGTAAATGTCTGATCCAAGTCTGTGTAACTCCTCTTTTATATTCCAGAATTTAATAACAACACTAATCCAGTAATGCCTGATACATGAGTTTTTGAATATTTGTCATATTTCATCTATTTTGAACATTTCACATTAGCCTCAGTATGTATAAGCTGGTCTTTTGATACTAATGGGAACCACACTTACTATGTATAGAAGTATGTTTCAGTGAAATATTGAATTTATTTAGTGCAAAATAATTATAACAAATAAACAAATAAACAAATAAACAAATAAAATAGCATCAAAAAGTATCAAGTATATTGTGAGAAAATACAATTTCCTTCTTAGTTCAGTGTTCCATATAAGGAAACTCCATTTACAGAAATTTTAAAAACATGGTTTGGTAGAGTTCATCAAATTTTAAAAGACACAGCACATTTATTTCAGAGACATCTCCATTTCAAAACTCTGCTGTTCAGAATATTAACATGCTGAAGTAATTCTGTAGAAGCTGATGCATAATAGAACCATATGTTTATCATCTTTTCTGGAGTTTGATAATTTGTTTCAGTTAAAAACACTATTTAAGATGTAAACTACTATGGAAAAGGAATGCTGATCCTCTAAGTCAATCATATTTCAGTGAAAGGTATGTGAAACTGAGACAGGCAGTTTCAGATGGCTGTTGAGGATATAAATTATATATTCAAAACAGAAAAAGCTCTGATCATCGAAGCAGGTTATCTGTAGATTTAAAAAATGTGAAGCATGATTTACAGGAAATGATTGCTTAAGTAACAAGAAGCAAAGTAACAAGGTATTTGGTGGCATTTGTTTTGTTCCATAATCTTTAAAATGTAATTAATGGTATATATTATCATATTAATAGAAATTAGATAATTCCTGATGACAATTTCTGAAATACCGAAAGAATAAATATTTGTGGTAATTCTTGAATCATCAGTGGTTAATTTGTTAGGTTCTCAAAGCTGAAAGAAACCACTGTGCACTTCCACAAAAGAGACAAAATGGTACATGTTCAACTGAGTTTATTATAGCTGTATTAAATCTACTTTCACATCATCAATATAAACACAGTATAACTTGGTTAGCTGTATTTTTGTCAAACAAAATGTGGCTTAGTCATATTTCTTGTAGGATGATATCTTATATTTCCTCATGGAAAATTTTGATACATAAAAGCTGTTGTTTGTAATTTTAGCAACTTAGCATCTTAGTTTTTCTATAAATCTCTCACTAAGCCTGTTTGGGTCTGAACAACTTTAAAAAAATAAAATTTAAATAACACTTAATACTACTCTTAATTAAATGAATATAAGAAATGAACATCTTGATCTGTTTTTGCATATCAGAAAACATATATCTCCTCTTTGCCCTTCAGATAGCTTTCATTTACAAATCATACACCTGTAGAAGCAGTGACARCTTCCAGAAAGCCTTAGAAATCATCCAGCTTTCTCACTGAAAATACTTGATGAAAACAGCTTCCAAGTATGAGAGAAATTTATGTTTAACATTAAAAAAATGAAACGTAGAAGTTAACATCTTTACAAGTATTTGTTTATTTTTTCTCATTCTTTCAGAGGTTTACTTGTCATCCTTTAATCATATAACCAATAGGCAATTTTGCTAGTTGTTTATTATCCACATTCGGGTATTTTCTAACATATTTCCATCTGTAAGGCTACTTGTAGAAATGCTGCTGGAGATGTACAAGAGAGATTCAGGAAGCACAGTAATATAATGTTAAACTGATACTCAAATTTAGAAGCCTGTAGAAAACCGTTCCTTTGTGAAATGGGAGAAAACTAATGTGCATGCTTTTTTCTACTAGCTATATAGTTTATTTTTTTCTTAATCAAAATTTCAACCATTTTACAGATATTCCAAAATATTTTCTGTGAGGATTGATTGATGCAGAGACTTTCTGCTGGAAGGTGACATTAACTGTTTCCATAAAAATACGACTTCTACTCTAGAGCATTCATTATTTGTAATTGGAAAATGACGAAAATAAGTAGTGATATTTTTAGACAGAAAAACAAATGATTTTGGACTTATTAGGATTTGACCTTCTAGGCAAGAGCACATGAACTATAAGTTGATAGAAATGAATCTTTTATTCCTTTTGGCTCTTGATTTTTTCTCRGAACAAGAGGTCTTCTTTAAAGATGTGCCCTTACCTGCCTCCTACACTTTTGCACTCTATAATCATAAGCCTTACATTCCCAATACTCCTAACAATTTAAAGTTCAATTTATCTTTGTGAGAGATCAGAAGGAGGTTTTTCATTAGACTTCACCACCAGAATATTGAATAAAAAGCTCACTTGCTGATATGCAGCACTCAGGTTTTCAGAGGATTCATATTTTTTTTTCAGATTAAATAAATTCAAAATCTCTCCTGTTATCCAAAATTTAATAATAATTTTTGAAAATGTTTTCCTCTGTGTTTTTTTTTTTGTTGTTGTTGTTGTTGTTTGTTTGTTTGTTTTAGCTCTTTGGTCTGTGCCTAGCTCTCCTGTAGAAAGGCAATTTCTCACTCATGTATGTTACTGGGAAAATCGACAATTTTAATTTAAGGCATGAGATGATGACGAAGTACTTCCTTCCAGAAACACAAACTACAGAGTTTCTTTATTTACAGATTTAGTTCATAATTGGTGGATTCTATGGTCATCAGTCTTTTATCCATCAATTCCCACTCCCAAGTTCTGCTCTTTTTCTCTACAGACTATATGCACATTTATTCCATGAAAGCTTTGCCGCCCCCCTAACATTCATAAAGAAAATAGCTTTCACCAATAATTCTGTAATGTTTGMATGCCTCTCAATGAAGATGGCAAGATGAATGAAACAAATATTTCAGGAGGAAGGTACTCACTGTTGATTTCCATGTGCTCTTTTTAAAGACAAACTCAATTACAAGTAATGACAAGCCTACCATTTAATTCTGCTTTTGCTATCTCAGGATGATAGGTTGCATATTGCCAAAAACACTATTTCTGAGATGAGATAAGCTCTCAAAGGACTAGTGAATGTATTATGAAATCTCCTAAGGACTTTAGTAACAGCTGTAACTAGAACACATAAATAATGATAGACATATTCTTTTAGCCTGAGTACCCTCTGCCCGTTGAACACAAACACATTTTATTTTGCTACAGCTCTTCCACACAGATCATCCAAATCCTTCTTTTCATTGAATTATGAGCATTCACTGTAAGAAAAGCTGTAAGAAAATGTAAATGCTTTCTTCTTCATTAAAAATGAGAAGCCTGCGACAATTTCAGACTTGAGGAGTTTAAATATCTAGAGTTCCTAAAAGTATTCATGGGTATTCACACTTCAACAAGTCACAGACACTACAGAGGATGCTGCCTTGCATCAACAGAGCTGAAAGAAGCATATTTCCATATGAACATAAGCACACAAAAAAACCCTGACATTCAAGGGTAAAGAAATAATTTTCTAGTATAAAGATCTATCATTCAGGCTGAAAAACTCCTTCAGCTTATTCTTAACATGTGAGCCAGCTGTTCCAGCCCATCTGAGATTATAAGGACAGAATGCAGTTCAGGAAAGAAACAGAAAATGGATAAAAGGCATATTTATGTGATATATCCATTGCTGTGAGAGCTGCATACAAATTATGCTAAATCTAGAATAAAAAATAACAACATTATATAACAAACTTCTTGCTTTCATATTAATATTCTTTAACAGAAGAGAATTCCCCAAGAGATTTTCAGATCATCTTGCTTCAGAAAGAAAGTATTTCTGAAATGATACTGAATTATGCTAATAAATGTACTACAGTATCTTAGGTATATATAAGTATAGATTGATACACAGAAAAATATAAAGCAATATTCTCTGTTGTTCAKGGAAACTTTACCTGAACCCTAAAAGGACCAAGTTGGTGCCTTGCACCATTCAGGAGATGTACTGTCTCCAAGCAGTTGCCAATCTGAAGTCATTTTCCTTTTCACAACAATGCCATGCCCTCTAAAGATTCCATTATTTTGAGTCTCAAGATCATAGAAGCTGCTTTTAGTTTGCTTTTAGACATGGGAATGCAATACAACAATTTTAATTGTTGAAAACAATTATGTGCTGAAACACATATTTGAGGATGCATTGGAGTACAAATATCACAAACAGAGTAAAGGTCAAAGTTCATTTAAAGTGTGTATTCTGAGTTTAAAAATGTGGTAAGAAATAGGCACTTCAGTAGTGTGATAAAATTCTATTAGATATAACATAAATGAATTTTAAACTAATCAACTTAAAATAAACTTTAGTCCTCTAGTAAGTCTTCAAATCAAGCCTCATCACATTCTTTTTGAAATTTCTGAGATATGGTTATTAGGCTAACAGTTAATATGAAAAGATAATTGATAATTAAAACGATAACCCCCAAACTGTTTCCATTCCAATCCTTAAGCCTGAGTGTTGCACGGTTATTAAAACAAAAGGAAAATGATATTAAAAGGAAACTTAGGCATGCAATAAAAGGCATTTTCTATCTTAACTTTCATTATCATCATTATCTATGCAAGCCAGGAATACTTCAAAATGGTAACACCAGCCTAAGTGAGACATGCCCTTTTGGAACTCTTACTAACAGCAGGAAAGGCAGGACACAGAATCACAGAATGTTCAAGGTTGGAAGGAACCTCTAGAGATCATCTAGTCCAACCCCCTGCTCCAGMAGGGACACCCAGAGCACGGGGCACAGGGTGGCATCCAGGCGGGTTGGGAAGATC